AGCTCCCTCCCTCCAGACGGTTTGTGTGTGTCAGCGAGCTTTTTTTTATATTTCTCGCGTGAGATATGGAACTAAAAGAGTCGGCGCGAGACCGCACAAGACCGCTCGTGAATTACATTGTGGGTCGACGCTGTCATTACGCGCTTTTTCCTTCGTCACCGGGGCGATACATAGATCGCCCGAGGGGCGGGATGGCGGTTGTGACCTGAGGAGGGGGAGGTCTTGAACCGAGTTTTCGCGAGCGCGGGTTTACGGGGCCGTGTAATCGCGTCGTCCGAAACGTATACCGTCGCGATTACGTCGACTCAGATGCGGTCATCGAGTCATGCGAAATCATCGCCGGCCGCTGCGCGTCGCGTGCTTTACGGTTGAGCGGACGAGGATTGCGACCGGGATTTTTCCTCGCCGAGAGATCGCGGATGGATGAGTGCACGGACTCGAATATATAAGGTAACGGGAGAGAATGAGATATTAATATTTTCGGCGTACATATTTTAAATATAAAATTCAATTTAAAATATCCTATCCTTTATTCTGACATTACATTGAAGTTTTCAATTTTAAACCGCGTTGTTCTTTTCGCATCCTGGAATTTAAAACTGATTAATCGCGATTTGATTAAAGAAGATTCTTTTTTATTTTATGATTGTTAATAAAAATTTTTTTTTGCTATGAGTGCTACAAAAATATTCTTGCTGAAATTAATTTGACAATATTCATTAATATTTCGATTAATTATGAATAATGTAATCTTTAAAAAGAGACGGAATAATTTAAGGATCGAGTGAACAAATCAATAATTATAGATTATTGTTAGATTATTGCTTAAAGATAATCATGTCGCATTCGAGAGGGTGCTTTCCCTAACGTTACCATGTAAAACGCCTTCTTACAACGCATCTGATGAATGCGTTCTTAAGTTCGCGTGCATTCACTCGCGTTCCTAACATCTCGAGCATCTGCACCAAGTCCGCGGTGGATTATTTTCATTACGGATACAGATGAATGATTTTTGTAACGAGGTGAGATGCATTCTGGATCACGAATAATGAATAGAAAATATTTATCAGATGTTATCAAAAGATGTAATAATAATACGAATCAATTTTTAATCCTGTAATATATTATGTATATTTGAAAGATGTTATTTTAGAGAGAAACAAGAGATGCATCTCAAAATAAATTAAATTTATGTCGCAAGATAAATGTTACTAAATATGTGCAAAAAGAGAAAAAGAATGGATGCTATTAATCACATAAAGAAATTTTGTAATGTCATCTTTGTCATTCTAAGCAATTCTTTCCACAAAAGATAATAAGCGAGATTCGTCCAGAAATATGACTCTACAAAATTAAAATAATAGTGATACAAAATATTCGAAATCATGATTCGAGTGAAAGAAAAAAAAGAGGATACTAGATTCGGATAAAAAAAAAAAAATCCTAACAAGACGCCTATCTATCTCGAATGCAGCTCATGCGAAGTCATCGTCTCTATTTTTCTCAATACATATATCGTATATACAACATATACGGTATACCGTTGCGTGCATTGTTACGTCTCAATGGATACTTGCACGAAGTTGGCGTAATAATTCGAGCTTGTTAAAGAATACGAATCAAGAAGGGCCCTTCAATACAATTTATAACACGTACTCCGTAAGGTTCGTTTACGCGCGAAGAAAGGTGCGAGATGCTATCGCGAGATGCTATCGGAAAATCTGCGTCACAAAATAAGAAACGCGTAAAACACACGAGCGCGCGTGAATAAATCAATATTTCATCACGGAACTTGAACAACCAGTGTCACTCTGTGAAAGTAGAAAGATAAATGTATCTTATCATGCGACGTTCCTCTCTCTTTTCTTTTTTTTTTCAGGTCAAAGTATATATTAGCTTCGGTTTTAAATATAAAATGAATTCATGATTTTCAAGATAAAGATTTAGATATGAATAAAAAATAAATATATAAAGCATGTTATATATAAATTGATATAAAATAAGATATATGTACTCGGCAAATTATATTTCTTTTTGTTTTTAAATATTCATTTTGTTTAATTAATTCTTAGCAATTTTATTCATGTGAAATACGTTTGTATTCTAATAAATATTTAAATAATAAATATTCGCTTTTGCACGTGTTTTACACCACCAAGTTTCTGACAAAAATTGATTATCAAGGATATTGTGATAATTCAATATGTACGATAATGGTGTTAAGTAGCAAATAAAAAAATTAATTTGTATGAAATTTATATATAGTAAATCTTTGTTTAAATATTAATATATAAAATAATTCGTACATCAGATCTTCTATTTATACGCGGAAAATGACGATAATATTCGCGTTGCGTATTTTTTTTCCCACAATCGCATTCCCGCAGTTCTGCAAGAACCCGATTCGACTTCCGTCATTCCCAGCGAAACCGGGGCGGATGATTTCCGTCGGTGATTTCGAACGCACACATACATACGCGAGGGGATATTTAGGAGGAAATCTAGAACGCTCGTATATAACAAACCACTTTTCTTCGTTCCTTTTTTTTTTTTTTTGTTGTCTCGGATATGCGGTCATCGAGTCAGAAAATCATCGTCCGCTATTTTCTGCAATTCATACCCGACGCGTTCGCGTGCGCCCCGTATAGAGAGTCATCGGCTCGGGAAATCATCATCCGTCATTTTTTACAATGTATGCACATTGCGCTCGCGTGCGTGCCCGAGTATATATACCTATCTACCTACCCACCGAGGGGGCTCGAGTGACGGTATTATGCCGGGTGGTCGAGCACCTATCCCCCGTATATAGATAGATGGATGATTCTTTAATGCGCTTTCGCGTCGACGACCAGCGATATAACGCCCTCAGAGATTGCCAGTTTTCCCGAAACGGACAATGTAATATACGTCGTATTTTTCAACCTTAGAATTAAAATTAAAAAACTAAATTTTATATTAAAAATATTTTATCAAAGATTTATTTATTTATTAAATATTTATAGAAAAAAAAAAAAAAACAAATAGAGTTTCACACAAGTTAAAAATTACCTTTCAAGATCATATGAATATTACATCAATATAAATTGATGTCAATTAATCTCTCAAGTTTGAATGCATATTTATCTGTAAATTGTTTATTATTTTTGTTGGCATCGACACTTTGGTGCAAAGCTACACAGAAACACGGCAATTCTCGTGATCAATTCGGCATCCAAGTGATTCCGTGAGCTCGAGAAATTTGGAGAATCTGCCGACACGTCTCTCCCGATGCGTCATCAAATCGAGCGGGACTCGAATGGGCTGATCGAACGCGACGGACGTTCCTCGCCGACATGTATCGGAATATAGCGCGAAATCGGTTTCCACCACATTGTGTACACAATGCTCTCGCGTGGAACCAATAGCCCGCGCCGGCACTGTGGTTACACACGGCCGCTTTATCATTAAGGGGGAGACCTCCAAGAGAACGGAGGTATCGTCCAAGAGTATCCAAATGATCGTGCGCGGGAACACCGTCGGTAGCAATCGAATGTGCAACAGTGTGGATCGCAATTAGATTCGGTCTGCGTGGCGAAGAATCGGGATCGGTATTCCGTAGTTCCCACATTCGTGAAACGATCTTTGCACGATCGTCGCGAATAAAATCGCCGAGATTACGTCGCCTTTAATGAGCCTCGGCCCAGCCTCCGCACGATTTTTCGGTGTCATAATTAATTAAGAGTCGTATCGAAATTCGTATATCTCGCTTCTCCGATATAGTTCACTATCCGATCTGTACTTTAGGATACTCGTGTACATGCAAATCCGCGACGATATGCAACTCGAATTCCGTTCGCGATAAATTAGGATAATAGAAATTGAGATAATCGAAACCTGGCCGTGTTTAAATGACATCGAATTCAAAGAAAAAAATGTTTCAATATAAGACACGATTCTCAAATCATTTTAAAGAAACTAGGCAATCATATTTGTCGGAAATAAATTTTTTTTAGGGGGGGAAAATTTATTACAAAAAATAAATAAATAAATTCCCCCCCCAAAAGACTTCATTTTCGACAAATACGATTGCCTAGTCCCCTTAATAACTTCATTTACATTTTTATTTGCATTCATGAATATTTTATACACAAACTGTCACAGACAGTTCATGATAAAAAATAAATCGATATATGAAATTTCCATTTATAAATTATCAGAAATAAGAATGTTTTACGAGAATAAATCGAGATCTTTTTATTCAAGCATCTCGGACAGATTTGTGTAAGCCATGATAAGTAACGGCGATGCATGTTGCACGATTGCGTCGATGACCTACCTACTGTTACTACTGAAAAATGTATGTCGGCCGTCAGTCCTAGCGAAAGGGTACATTGTCTCGTGAAAGGGATGACGCTCGGACAAACGTGACACGTACGATGAACTTGACGGCGCTGGCGTGACTGCCGCGTGTCGGGTGTGGATACACGGTGACTGAAGATAAACTCTAACAAGGGTGAACTATACGTCTAGAATTACCTCGTAATAAAAGGCAGCCGAGGGGCAAACGTATTCTGTGTCTACAAGTATTATGGATCTACAAGTACGTCACCGACTGCGCTTTTAAAAGCCACGTAAATGATTCTTTAAAACGTCGTCCAGATTTATTGACAATGATTTGTTGTTTCATGTGCGTAGAATTCTGATATATTCTAACAGCGAAATATTTTTCGAAAAATATTTAGATTATTAACGATCTAACGATTTTAATAATAATGTTGTTTATAAAACTCAATATTTTAATTATAATTATTTAATAGCTGTTTCGCACTAAAAGTATTACGTAGTTTGCGAGAGTATAGATATAAATTTTACACATTGTATAATATTTTCATATCTGCTACAGTAATAATACACCTACTGCATTTTAAATATAAAAATATAAAAATTTTATAATATCTTATATTTCTTTTTTTATCATAATAATAGCAGCTTAACTGGTTTAATTATAAATTTAAACATACCTGATGGAAGCCTAGGTAACTCTCTATGCTGTGGGTAGCGAAAAACACTTCCCCGTCGCAAGTCAATATTAGCAGGAACCCGTTCAGTGCCTGAAACAGAAAATTGATTCACTAATTAAATTAAATATAATTGTTCGTAATTATATTAGTAAATATTATAAATGAATAAAATATAGTAAATATTATAAATGAAAAAAAATATTAATATAACATACGCACACATATAATTCCTATCATTACAGATAACTGTGATATTTGCATTAATATTAATATAATAATCGATGCTCTCAATCGTCTATTAATCGTCAGTTAAATAAAACACGTCCGTGAAATATCCGGAATTGATCATAATCGGAAACCGAAAGACTGCTCCGTTTTTGCGCCGGGGCAAAGTTCAAGAGGCTAATTCGTGGCGTGTTAAGTTAAGAGCACCGCAAAATATAGGTTTAGACGTAGTTAGACGTACATGTGGAGTATACCCTGCGAGAATAGAGCGGCGGCACGAGAACGAAAGGGTACGTTGCCTTTTCGAAAGCAAAGGCCTAGCGTTTTGCGGCGGCATCGCGCGAAAACGTTCCCTGGAAAGTTTTCTCATTTGTCCGCGGACTCGATACCCGGTAAATACCAAACGAGCTCGCAATTCGAGTGTGTTTACCTCGATGCCCAAAATATCTGTTATCTGATTATCGCACTGAGCTACGCCTTCCTCGAAAAAGAGAAACATGCTCTCACACATTACACGTTATTCAACTGATAAATATTATCAGTAAAAGTCATAAATATTAAAATCGAGAGACTTATCTATCGATAACAATAAATATGTAAGAATGAATATAAAAAAATAGACGTGAAAATGCTAAAAATAAATATATTAAATTTATTTGCGTTTATTAAATAAAAAAAAAAAATATAGAAATATAAAAAATATGTTACTAAAATATTATTAATATTAAAATATCAAAATATTATTATATTATAAATAAATTATTACTAAATTATAAAATATACAAGTCGCGATTAATAGACAAATATCTTGTAAAAAGAAACCTGTTTTATATATAATCTCTATGAAATACTCGGGATTCAATAATTACAGTAATGTTAACGGAATTTTATGAAAAAAAAAGCGAATTTTGGGGAGCAAATGAATCTTGAGAATAAAGGATACATATACGGAGGGTGGATGCACATGCCGATAAGAATAATTCAAGGACGTAATCCGACGTGGCGCACACGATTAAGCTTTCCGAAATACACAGGCAATTTCGAGCCGCCACGCGAGAATAGCGCGCCGGCACGAAAACGGAAGGGTGCGTTGCCTTTCGGAAAGCGGCGAGGGCGGTTGAGCGTTGTTTCTCTCTGCTGGAAACGCGCTCTGAAAACTGCCCCGGGAAAGTTTTCCCATTTATCGGCGGTCCCGATACCGGCAAATACCAAACGAATTCTCTCTCCCTCTCTGTCTCTCTCTCTCTCTCTCGCAACAAACGAATGCGCACCGCGCATCGAAGAGCCGAAAATATCCGTCCCAGTTTTAACCCAGTCTTCAGCCCCGACGCGGCTATATATCGGTCGGGGAAGCAGGGTGGAAACCATTTAAAGCCTCCGTCCGCTCCACCGCTTTCTCTGCGAGCTAAATGTGTATTGTTTTGTTTTATTTCGCAGTGGCAGTGCCAGGCACGCTAAATCGGGAACTTATTGTTGCGAAATATGGCGAGCTCGCGCTGAAATCGAAATGTGAAAAAGAAAATACGGCTTGTACATCAATGCGAGAGTTTTTTATTTAATTTCTTCGATGGATTTTTTAAAACAGAGATTTTACGAGAGATATAATTACGAAGGCTGTATAAAATTAAAAATTAGCAAGTAATCTCCCATAAATTTTTCATTAAGAAACAAATCAATTTTAAATTAGTTGAAGAAACTGCGATTAAAAAATTATCTTAGGATATATCTTATAAATTAAAAAATATTTATTTTCTTGTACTTTTCTTATCTTCACTTTCTTGATTCACGACCTGTAAAGAGTTAAATTTTCTGTGGTATCTCAAGATTCTCCTACTTCACGTCAACGCGATGCATGCTCGTAAAGTTGCGATAATTACGGATATCTCGTGGCTTCCTAATCCTCACTTCCGACGTTCTCGCAAGCAATAAGATCGTGGACTTCGTACTATCTCATTACTTCCGGGATAAAATGGGGGTCGTATTTCTTAGAAGCGGCGGGTTTAATAATTATTATGGTGATTAGACGTGGTTCATTAAAAATTCGCAGGCATATTTTTTAAAAATCTGGCAGACGTATATGTCTTTTTTAAAATGTAAAAAAGCAGAGATTGGTCCGATCGTACAATATCCGCGATACGAGTATTGAATGCGTCGAGCCTTCGCGCCCTTTCGTTATGATTAAATATGTCACTGTGTCAAACTCTCGGTTTCATTTTCCGGCCGCTTCGGGGTAGGAGCCTCGATTGTGCCTCGCGATAGCCGACGGTATACAAAATGGCACACTTCCGAGCGATCGCATGCGCGGATGCTGCGTTTTGATTGGTTAATCCGCAGGGTGGGCTCCTGGCGGTTGCGTCAATACGGATGTGCGCGAGGGTTGAGTCTCTACGACGACCTCGTCTCGTTTCACCCCACACGCTCTGTGTACCACGTCGCGTAGGATACGGAGCTATAATAGGATTTTCTCCGTGCGCTTCCCCCTTCCTTTTCCCGTCCCTTCGAAATGGCCGACATAGCCATTCCGCGGTAGACATCCCGCGAGACTCGTTCGCCCTTACTACTATAATTGCATTGTTTGGGGAAGTAATCGGGTTTTCTCTCTCGATCGACCAGTTTGCGGGGTCTTCGCGATCATGGCTATCATTCTGTCGGAGATCTCGCGTATAAAGCGAAGCGAAACGGAAGCGAGTCGTTATTTGATGGGCGGACTTTATGTCCTACAGTAATACTTTTATAAATTATAAATGGCGTTATATTTGAATTATTGCAAACCAAGTTATTTTTTTCCGCTTTTGTATTATTTATAGAAATCATTTAAGCTGAATTATATATCTTTAGAACTGTCTTGTAATATATTTCCAAAGTTAATATACAACCGAGATGTGCAAACAAAAAATGCTCGAATTAATGTTTTGATCATAGCTTTTATAATTAAATTCGTAGATAAGTTTTACATATATATGTTCATGATAAATGTCCGCGAAGAACGATGTTTGATTTCTTGAACTGGAAATCTGCATACCGGCGTGCCAATCGTGCCGGGTATCGCCGAGCTCCGTGCCCGTGACTGCCGCTCGCATGTGAGCGAAGAAAATGGAAAGATTTCGTGCGTAAAGTATTATTGGCGACCCGCTAATGCGGGAGAGTCAAGGTGAGGATGAAGGGGTATTAGAAGTTCACGCTTGGACGGAACACGCGAGTGCGCCCGCGAGTGGCACGCGACTGGATTCGCCGAGCGGCTCACGCGAGAAATAAAAAAAAAAAAAAAAAAAAAACCCCCGTAACACTTGTATTCCGCCTCCTCTTCCTTCCTCCTTCTTTGTTTTCCCTCCCCTTTCCTCGCGGAAGAGAAAGACACCCGCGCTTCCGCGATGCGTAACCGTGCGTGGCCGATTTAATATCGGATTTAAATATCGAAAAGAGAACAGATTTAATGTTATTTTACGAGAATATTTTATAAAATTTTTTCGTTACACGATCATATTCACAACTTGATATAATAATCCAACAAGCAAAATCAACGCGTATTATATCGCAATAATAAAATTAGATAAAAATATTAAAATGGCTGGAGTGGATATAAGTCGTTATGATTTTGTTCAATATATTTGTACAAAAATCTGTATGCAAATTATTATAAAATACTCGAATTGTTAATTGATCTGCATTGTTACACATCATATCATATTAATATTTCCTTGCAAACACTTCGCAGGAGAAATAACATAACGCCACACGACATGGCAAAAATATAATATTCGCAGAATTGTGCATTTTAATACCGAGGTAAAATCAAAGGTATATTTCTAATCAGTCATTGATGCAAAATTCAAAGTAGAATAAAATTTATATGATGAATGCTATATCAACGCTCGACCTCGCCGAGGAGAGAGAAAAATGCGAAGCAAAAAGTCGTTTGCATTTAGGGATCAATAAAGATGTCGAAGAACATTAAGGCAAATATTTAACGTGAATTTTCGTGGCGATTTTCATTTCCATACGCGCCGCGTTATTCGCGTCGCATGCGTTATCATCATTAACAAACCCGTATATTGCGCGCCGCGTTCCATCTTGGTACGGCCGATTAAAAGTAGCCGCATCCAAATTAACCTGGTTTTCGGCCTGGCTTTTTCTCCCTTCCCCGCCGTCCCCTCGCGACAATTTATCTCCGGTTTCGTCCGTCTTACTCTCGTTTATCGGACGACTAATTGCGTCGCGAACGAGCACGCGACCGAGCCTGGCGACGACGACGAAACTGGATCAGCTAATCTGTCGTGGAATTTTACTATCGTTGTCAATCGCGCTTAGGAATAATTTCGATAAAATATAGATCATGTTGATTAAAAAACGTAGCATCATCGCTATTCCGATTTAGAGAAATTATAACAAACTGCAGCGATCAATAATTGACGGTTGCACCGACGTCTTACCAAGGGGTTCCAAAAGATTAAACTAATTAAACTCTGGTAAAAAGGAACTAGAGATACAAGATCTTTTATCTTTGGATGTTTCAGATCTCTTGATCAACCCTCATGTAAAAATTTGTCGCAGTATCGATACCCTGGACGTGTACGAGTGTTATTATGCTCGTCGACTGTGACAGCTTCACCTGCTGCAGCTTCGTTCGTACGTACGAGAGGGACTCGTTCATGGAACTCCGAGACGGGGGTTTATATCTTTTAAATTCGACCGGTAATTTATTGGTCGCTCTCGTATATCGAGCGCACGTGACGGACGCCTTTCAGACCCTTCGTTAATTAAGCTCTTCGGCATCGTATCTCGTTAAGATCGTTAAACGACGCG